ACCACATTTAACTAATTAGTATTAATCTACTTTGTTAAAGTAGAACAGTGAGCAAGTAATAGGGGCTATATATGACATCACCTACATCGTGAATCAGTGGAACATACATAATATATACGGTGTACTATTCATTTGGAATCTTCTTTTCTTCACCATAAAAAGACTTTATAATTTGCTAAATAAAAAAATCTCCGTCATATTGTTCGGATGGGACGAAAAACCGAGGTGAAATGAAATGGGGTTTAACGTCCTACTGTTCTGCTCCTAAAAACCGAGGTCCCGTGTATATATTGGAATGCACGTAAAAGATCCCCTGGCAGTCGGAATTCGATATAAGAGTAGGCGATAGTGCCGCTGCCCGGGCAAAATTTCCCTCATAGCACACTGTATGGTGTATGCCCGTCTTCATTAGCCCAGTATAGAAGCAGAACAGTAGGACGTTAAACCCCAAGGGGAAACCACGCCGGAAAATCTGGATGAACTTTCTCGGCCAATGCAGGGATCGAACACCCGACCTCCAGGCTAGCGAGCCAGCGCCTTACCCACTTAGCCACGTGATCCCCGCTTTTCAGGCAAATAAAGATGACTATATAGTTGTAAACTTTATAGAAAACACAATTAGTAACACTTGAAATAAATGATTAATTGTGCTGTAATTAAGTATAGATGTTGACAGGTTGCCAGAAAAAAAAGAGTGAAGTTATTAGTAACTAAGACAATGAAATAGATGAATATCAGCCATACACCGCTCTAAACAACGCTGAAAAGAACTAGGCGCGTTGATTAATCCGAGGGCATAGCATTGAACTCCCAAAAGCCTAAATTACCAGCATGTGTCATGCCATAAGGGAGATTTTGCTGGAACAGCGACTCTACAACCTACTCTTATACCGAATTCCAACTGCCAATGGATCTTTTACGTGCCATCATGACAACTAGACAGCTGTCCTTGTCAGGCCCTCCTTTCTGCATTACCAACAAGGAGAAACCACGCCGGAAGATACTGATGAACTTTCTCGGCCAACACTGGCAGTGCCAGAGTTATGGTCCTTGATCTCTTTGAAATATCTTTTGGACGCTCTAGAGGCTAAAGTTAATAACCGATTGACTTTAAACTGATACACAGTGTTTAAGGTCACAAGAGGAAGAAACCTAGTTCCGATAATTACTGTCAGAGTTATGACCCTTGACCACTTCTTGTGGATGCTCTACAGGCTAAAGTTAATGTTTGATTGACTTTATATTTATACACAGTATTTAAGGTCATGAGATGAAGAAGCTTATTGATTTCCAGCGATTTCCGATGGAATCCTTTGAAAATCACACCCAACTTTAAAACTAAATGCAAGGAACAGGCCTGTTTACATTGAAGCACAACTACTTCCTGTCCTGCGTACGCGAAACTACTAAAAGGTATATTCAAGAGTTATACAGAGTATGTTAAAACATACTCTGGATATAATATACTGTTTTCTAAATATGCCTTGACGGTAGCCACAACACGACAATTTTTGTTTTGTATTTTTTCCCATCTTGTTCATAAGGTAAATGTAATTTTTCAGATACCTGATGACATTTATACTTATTGTTTCAATAGATTCTAATAACCCCTTTTCAGTTAATATGAAAGCTTTGATATCTGCTATGCAGATCTAGTTAAAAAAAAAAATTTTTTTTGTGTGTGATCGGATTTCTACCCCCAAAAGAAAAAAAAAATTGGTGGTAGCTTTTGATTTTCAAAACGTTTTACGAATCCTAAATCACTGAATTATACGAACGAATGCATTTGACCTACATTGCCGTAAATTTGTGACTATTTGATCTATTTTACTAATTCTTTTTATTTGAGTAGGCCTACCTTGAAACATTTACTTCAAATCTGCAATTTCGGATTTTCGAATTTCGAAAGTTCGTCGCTGTGATTTCGAACCGGATGTTGAGATTAACTTGACAACTTCTTTAATAGTTGCACGATTTTCATAAAATTTAGTATATAAGTAGATCTTGCCGATGCGACTTGAAAGATGTCATTTTCTAAATTCTCTCCCAAAAATCGACGAAATATAGGTCAGATTGTCTTGAATTTTTGTTGCTGTACTAGCTAAGAAATTGCTGACGTGTCCCTGAATCCTTGAAGGAATGCTTAAAAATCTATCGGATCAGATTTTTGATATCGGTCAACTCATGGTAAACATTTTGAACTGAATATGAAAAAAAGTGAAAAATCGACGATAACTCACATGAAAATGAAAACAATAGGCCGTGATTTGGAGAATACGTCTCCTATTTCCAAAATGAATACATTTCTGGAGAGCCGGGATCAGGGTCGAATTTGTGGTATTTGAAGATGTCAAAATTTCGAATTTTGCCTTTTAGTGGGGGGCCGTGCATATGTATTTATGTTTTTTTTTCATTTCATATTGATGCAAAAGTTTCGTTTTCAGTACCAATTTGATGGCAAGGGTCTTTGGAACAATTCTGGTTCGAGTGTCAAGCAGTCAGATAAAAAAAAAATCAAAATGGCCGCCAAAATACAAGCCAATTTCCAGCTTAATTTTCGCATTACGCCTCATAACTTTTGTACTGTTAAACCTAAAATGGTGATTTTGGTCTCTATATCTAGGTTTGCGTGCATGAATAATTGAATAAAAATAAAATAAACATGATTGGAGCATATCTTTTCTTATATTGAGTCCTACTTCCAAGTAAATTCTTACATAATTTCTTCAAAAACTCCTTGAACAATACATTCAATAAGAAAATGGCTAACAGATTAACCAAGGCCCCTATATACATGTCAGTACTGGAAATTGTTCTAGTCCAGCTACTTCTCGCATATGCACTTGCACTGGCGTATGCTATTCAACTTTGTCGTCAAGCATTCGCACCGACAGCAGGTAATTGGGTAAGTGCACTTCATATCCAGGTGGAACCGATTTTTGGCGATGGGCAGCGTGGTCCAAATTGGAAGCACTTTGCCGTCCTATTCCTTCCACCTATGGTATGTTGGGTTGTTGACAGGCATCATGGACATGTGGGCTGTTGCCCAGATACTCGCTTAGAAGACACTTCAAAGCATCAGCTAGTAGAGGGAATTCTCTCCACGTCCCTGGTCTTCTTTGAGAACAACCTCAATCACACGAGGTGAACATCACTGTCCTTGTTTGATTCATTTGACCACAGCCTACAAAGTTTGTTGCCACTTCTTTCAACATTGGCGATGTTTGGAATGGGGTGTCGACAATAGTTGCAAATTGTTAGAATTTTGAATCTAATAGTAATATACCGCCATAGTTTATTACTGGTCAGACTCGCAAGTAGCTCTTGCCTGGATAAGAAAACCTACAAGAGAGGGAGAGAAATGTGGTTTAACGTCCACTCGACAGATGGTTTTATTTTATTTCAATAATTCGCTTGCGCGTTGTGGTCTTTAGCAGTGGGAGGAAACCGGAGGACCCGGAGAAACCCCACGAGGTTGGACAGGCGACCCTACTCCTTGAAAAGGTACAACCGGGAATTCGAAACCACGCCAATTGACTCAATGACAGGCTATATGATACAGCGCGCACTTGCTAACCATTCGGCCATCCAACCCCCCAAACCTACAAAAGTGTATAAACAATTTATTGACAATCGGGTGACTGGCATCATGCGATTAACAAAAATAGATGATTGGTATTATTGTCCGACCAAAGAAAATCCAGCGGACATTTTGCGAGGTGGTAGTGCCGCAAATGATTTGGTAAATAATGAACTTTGGTGGCATGGACCTTCATATTTATTGATGACCGACGAAAACTGGCCAAAAGACAGAAATGAACAAATAGTGAATGATGAGTTTCTGAGTGAAGTGAAGAGAACAACAGTTTGTTTAAATGAAATGTCTGTTACGGCTGACATTGAAAAGATTATTGATATAGTGTTAGTCTTTCTGAGCCAGTTGCTTGGTTGGCTACTCCCACACCTCTACCGTAGTGAACCTTCAACGGAACTAACAGCGGTAATCCGCTCTATCCAGAGATCCTGTTCGCTACAATATTATGATATTACCGGCGCCAAAAGGCTCTAAAGTGATCGATGAGTATAATAGTGTAAGCATCTCTTACAATACATTGTCAAAGCGTTTACGTTAACTGCTTATATGTTACGTTTTGTGAGTCAGATAAAACGCCGTGTGAAATCTGGTGGTACTAGTCTGGGGACTCACTGCGAGGGGGTGTCCATCAAATGGGCACAAAACCAATCCCAACTTTTCTATAGTACAATTTTGCGTAGAATAGTGCGTTGGGGTGTTTTCGAGATATTCGGGGTCAAATGTCAAATGAAGTCATTTGCACTGAAAGTAAATGCGCAGCCATTCTTGTACTATGAAAACATGCTGAAAATGATCGAAAGTAATCACCCTTTCAATAAAAATGTAAACTTGCTAAATTCACCGTTGTTCTTTGTGACCCAGGAGGTCAAATGGTCAAATTTTCCATTTTTGCACTAGCAAGATTTAAAGCAATAAAATATAAAAACTAAAGCGAAACCTATTCTAATTAATAATAGGAACATTTAAAAGTTATTTTGGGTGGTCTTAGCACCGTACATTTGGACCTTGTACCTGACGCCACTTCTAGTTCATTTATCCACATTTTCAAGTGTTTTACCGGTAGGAGAGGTATACCTGTATTAATGAATTTAGATAATAGTTTGACCTTTAATAATGCCGATGTGACTACATTTATTCAAGATCGAAGTATTAAGTGGCAATACAATGTTGAGCGTTCTCCATGGTGGGGAGATTATTTTGAGTATTATCAACACTGTCTGGCGACATAGATAGTGTGCATTTTCAAGTGGGCTGCCATGGTTCTAATGCGCCAAGAAGACTTTATCGATTTCAAATTCCCGTATCCATGAAATTTATCCCTTTCTTCTCCGTACTTCCCTCACGTGTGCAGCTTTTAAAACTTTTTGGGGTTCATATTCAAAAACAAGTGAACACATGCTTTATAATTTATTATAGATACATGTACAACGTAAATATCTTTTAACAACAGCCATGTCGAGGAGGTGATATCGACTTACTAGAATGACGTTACTTCAATCTTATAAATTGATGTTTTCATTTACTACTTGAGCAACATTACTCCCAACTCTATAAAGCCACTGATCGTTATTTAGACAATATCCAAATTATACATCTTTATCCACTATGAATTGTAATCAAATTGATTAGGTACTATGTAGCATCGTCAACCCACAAAACAAATCAACATTATGAAATCCAACGAAAACGACAAAGAGGTCTAGTCAGTTATGTCGAATGCGCTGTTTCTTTTTTTTTTGACTCCAGTTCGCCATCATATTCCCGAAGCAATGAACCGAGAAATTCCTCTCTGGCCATTGCTGGATTGGCTTCTGATACGTGAGCCTTTGAGGGAGTATATCTATTCTTCCTATTCAATCAAACCTATCCCAAGTACAGCAACATGACAGCCCATCGTTTAATCTGGGGTCTTCCTAAAACGTTGGACAGTGATTTAAGGTAGTAAAACCGGTGAAAGTCTTGTTCGTCTCCAAACAGTATTGTTTACCTTGTAGCCGTTTGATAGCCTCGTTTTTCACGCAATTAGTTTTTCTGTAATATTCTGCTATGCACAGGTAGGGTGACCCACCATAAATAAATATCTCCAAATATCTCGACAATTACGCCACAATATTTATATATATGCCAAGCCTCAAATCAGTTTCACACAATTATAGTCACTAAATAAACGATCATGTTGTACTTAATAAGCTATGACCATTAATCATCTATAAATAATAGACTGAAAACTGGTTCCAAGTGTCGTCCATAACATCCAGACACTTTTGAGTAAAAGATAGGTTACGTGCCCTTGTTCTGAAATTAGTCTCGCTTAACCAGTCTATAGACCATTCTACGTCTGATTGACAGGTCGGGATAATCAAGACTACTTTTTTTACGAAACATAACAGAAAGCTAGAACAAGAAATTGAATTTAGAAATAAGCACTTTAGACAACTCAACAATTGTTTTAAGAAACTTGTAAAAGTAAAATGAAACTACTGCTAGTATCATGTTCCTGTCCAACCCGAGTGTTTCAGAGATATTATTTGTACTAAACCAAAAGATTCCGCTCTTAACGGTACAGTTAATGATAAAGCAATTTAAAAAATAAAACAAACGTAATTTCTAAAGCTGCTGTAATAACCAAGAAGCTAAATTTTACTGCTATTCAAAATCGTCAACAATAGATTTTTTACGGCTGTAATAGTTGATATATTTGTAGAGAATTGCACGTGCCATGGCTATTTGTCGACTCAAAGGGAGTGCAGGGTAGTCAGAAATCAGTTCGAGACACGCAACTGAAGCGTGCACATTTAGCCGTGTCGAGACCAACTTTATGTAGAGTGCACGGTCACCCTAGCACTGGTTAATTGGGCGTTATAAATTTTGTGAGTCAGGAGGTAACGTTATGTAAATATATTTGGTCCGATTTGGAGCTCTGTTAAATGCCGAATGATATTAGTACATAGTTAGCTATTGGTTGTTAATCAGACTATTGACCAGTCATAATTTTGAACAGAGATTTGCTTCCATTACAGCAGTGCTAAGTTGGATTAGGTCAAATCTAACGAAACACTACGAGGAGTATGGTTCGTCATGTGAAATACCGATTTATTCAAGATAACAATACATTAGTAGTTTTTTTCTTAATATGCATATCCTCACATCCTAACATACATTATTCAATTTAACATAATATGCATATCCTAATACACTTTAGTCAATTTAACATAATATGTATATTCTCATAACATTGTAATACATCAGTCAGTTTAACATAATATGCATATCCTCATAACATTTAAATATACATTAATCAATCTAATATAATATGCATATCCTCATAACATTTTAACATACATTAGTCAATGTAACAAAATAGGGGCCTATGCATATCCCCATAACATTTTAATATACATTAGTCAATCTAACATAATATGCATATACTCATAACATTTTAATATACATTTAGGTGTTAACTGTAACATCACTCACTTCGGATTTGCCCTCTTTGTATGCTTTTTAGAATTGGCCTGTAAATCACGGTAACTTAACCCTTCAAAATACATGGTTTATAAATAAAGCCATCACAAGAAACACATTGAAGTCAAGATGTTGAATTCTTCGATTAATCAGGGCGATAAACAGTTGATCTAGTAGAATTATGCATAGATTGGATAAAGACAAGTTAGCTATATGCATAAATTTAAAGGGTTATTTTTACGTTGACTAGGTATAAAGGTGTCTATCATGTTAAATTTCCGTTCCAACAACTGTCCATTGTGTTACACAAGAATCTTGACCGCCAACCACTATTACATGTTTACCATTAGAACTAAAGCTGACCTTTTGTGTATTTAGCAAAGACTTGTAGGTATGACAATAAACCTGAAATCAAAGAACCACATAATTATAGAGGACATTTTGGGTGAGTGATTACCCCCATTTGACGAACACATTAAAAAATTTTTAATATTATCTGAAGTATACGGGAATTCATATACATGGAGTAATGGTGACGAGCATCACTGGTTTATTGACAACTGCTACACTCACTATGGTAAATAGTATTTGTGAGTAGTTATCTGCATCTGGGTCTGGTATATAATTATGTCGCATCGAGATTTCAACTGGCATTATTCTGTTAATGACAAACGATACATTTGCCAAAAGCCAGTCGTGGCCTGTTTGAATGATGTATATCAGTTATAGTAATAACGGAACGATTTAGTTAGTCGTAAACAGACGCACATAATTGCAATTAAGCATTGGCCTTCTGAATCGGAGCCACTGTGACTAAGTGAGTAAGACACTGGCTCGCTAGCCTGGAGGTCGCGGGTTCGCTCCCGGTGTTGGCCGAGAAAGTTCCTTGGGATTTACCGGTATGATTTCCCCTTGTCAGTGGTGCAGGACGGAGGGCCTGACAAGGACAGCTGTCTAGTCGTGTAAGACTTTTGCTAGAATTTTTGTTTGCTCTTATAATTAATGATGGCATTATATTGTATTAATTATTTGTACTAAATGTGCACTAAAATATGAGCGACACATGGGTATATAAAAAAGAGTTATAGAACCAAAATATAGCTGGTTCTATGTGTCAACAACATGTTACCAGATTACACGTGATTGGAAATTAACCTATTGCATCATTTGGTTTAAGGTTCAGGGTCATGAATAGCCTAGTCTGTGCGTGATGTCCATAAGTCCTATAAAAGAAATCATGGCAAACTTTTATGCCAGATTTCATTGGATTCCGGAGTGATTACCATCCGAGTTTCTAGACAGCAGATTGATTCTAGAAGGAAAAAGGGTCCGACTGGATAGGGTTTGTGAGAATGACTTTATTCTATTATGCATTGTACCATATGTAAGCAGCTATGATACATAAAATGTAAAAACGAACTGTTGCATTGTTATTCCTGGTAAGACAAACGTTTTAACTAACTGAGATGGATAGTAAGAAGTAAATACACAACGTGAAGGGGAAGCAAAGACAACCAGAGACAAATTCTAGGCTACTAAAATATGTAGTAAGAAAAGATGCATGGGTCATACATACGTAGGATGTGGCGACCGAAATCACTGGCCCGCTCTCCCCACCTAACGAAAGACAGATGGTGCTACAGTCGTTCGGTGGGACGTGCACGTGTATACATTGGCGTGCACGTAAAAGATCCCTTGTCAGTTGGAATTCGATGTATGGCGTATGTCCGCCTTCATTGGCCCAGTCGGAGAAGAACAGTAGGACGTTAAACCCCATTTCATTTCATTGCCTTCTGAATCAACGTAGGAATTAAATTGTAATAGTCTGAAGGGTCGAAATTGTTCGGTCCGACCAATTATAGAAACGAAACCGGTTCAACTTACCGAATCTTTATTACAAGGATAACGGAACAAACTAAGATTTCCCTGGGTATCACTGACAGCTACCAGTGTTTTGGTTGGGTTAACGGAAACATTATTAACGGCCACCTCTTGTACTTGTTTTGAACACCATATTCCTACAATTTAATACATACATTTGTAAACTTGATATAATAAATATTCTTCTTGTTTATATATATATTATATCAATGTGTCATATATACTTACAATATAACAATAATTGCAATAAAATATAGATATTTAAAAATAACCGCAACACCGTTTTCAATTACCGCCACTTCTAACGTATTTTCAATACTAATGAATTAATTTCGAACTTTATTTCTATTTTAGTACATCTACTAACTTTTATATCACTTTAGGTTCAGGTGGATAGATGTTAAATTTCTATTTCAAAATGTTACCAATTTTTGATGGTGTCGTTGATAATGAAATATCCGGTTCGGTTTAAATATGAAGTAAGATTTAACAATCAGGGATCAGTTGTTCAAAACCCAATTATTTTCACGATCCGTTAAACTCTAACGGGTGCTCACATGTCGTGTGTTAACGGTCCGTTAAATTTCTGTTGCTGGAAAGTCAACTATCGGACTCATTAAAGCTCTGTACACACTGTCAACATTTTCGGTAACATGTTGAGCAACATATTGACCAGGTGCGATGTTGTTGAACAAGTTGATAGTGTGTACAGTTCGGAAACATTCGGCAACATGTTGTCCAAATGTTGCCGAAATAAATACAAGATCAATTTTGTTGCCGAGATGTTAATGATGCCGAGAATTATCCAATCAGAAATGTATCGAAACCTATAACTACCATTCATAATTTCTACTTTTCGCCTCTTCAAAACACGAAAGTCGAAATGTGGAAAAGTAGAAGTTACGACAAAATGTGATGCGACAACACGCTATACAAGCCAAAATCAACTCGGAAACAGGAAATTAAGAAATAACACACAGCGATAATAGCGCCCCTCGTTTTTTCCTAATTTCTTATTTTCGACTTGTATTTTGGCTTGTATACCGTCTTGTCGACTTTCGACTTAGTCATATTTTTGTATTTATTGATGTCAGTAAGAAGGCGCCAACACGCTATACAAGCCAAAATCAATTCGAAAATAGGAAATTAAGAAATAACACACCGCGATAATAGCGCCCCTCGTTTTTTCCTAATTTCTTATTTTCGACTTGTATTTTGGCTTGTATACCGTCTTGTCGACTTTCGACTTAGTCATATTTTTGTATTTATTGATGTCAGTAAGAAGGCGCCAACACGCATACCAAGCCAAAATGCAACTCGAAATTAGGAAATTAACACACTGCGCTATTAGCGACCTATGATCTGTCGTACTGTCGACTTTTCGACTTTCACCTCGGAAGTTGTTGTAGTCTCAATTTGGCAGGTCGCATTTAAATACATGCAATTTGCGTTAACAAAATAGTCTGTATGATAAAATCTAGTATTGAATGCGATATTAGCGACCTATGATTTTGGCTTGCTGTCGTGCTGTCGACTTTTCGCCTCGGAAGTTGATGTAGTCTCTACTTTCAAGGTCACATTAGAATACGCGCATTGATAATTGAATTTCATTTAGGCCTACTGTGGTTTCATACCGCATATAAAATATACATGTTTTCCCGATTGTATATTATTATTTTATTTCAAATTATATTATCACCATGGGTAAGAAATGTAAGAACGAGTCGAATAGTGACTTTTCAGTACCGCCGCCAAAATTCTCAAATGATTGTAAGCATGTCTTACAAATAAAATTGAAATTTCTATGAGGATTCAGATTCTTGATCATTGCGGTACCTGCAATTAAGAATAGGCCAATTGTACATGCAAAACGTTAAAAAGGGAAATCCTTGGATGAGACTGGCGTGTAGAGGCTGACTATAAATATATATTGTTCAGTAGATGTTGAAATAACTCAAGACAACAAAAATAAATTCTGATCTTAGTGGATCACCTCAAAACTGAGCTAATGTATTAATGAGAGAGGGGGGGGGGGGTAACGTCCACTCGACACAAACTAAGAATTATTCATTGACTAACATGGTGTAATTTTGTTTTAAAAATTGGCGATGAGAGAGAGAGAAAGAGAAATTAAATGAAATTTGGGTTTAACGTCCTACTGTTCTGCTCCGAACTGGGCTAATGAAGACGGCATACGCCATACAGAGTGCTATAAGGGAAATTTTGTCCGGACAGCGGCAATACGGCCTACTCTTATATCGAATCCAAACTGTCAAGAGATCTTTTACGTGCACGCCAATGTGTACACGGGACCTAGTTTTGTTGTACCATCCGAACAACTAGACAGTTGTCCTTGTCAGCCCCCCACCTCCCGTCCTGCATCACTGACAAGGGGGAACCCGCCGGAAAATATGGATGAACTTTCTCGGCCAATGAAGGGATCGAACACCCGACCTCCGGGCTGGCTTAACATCCACTCGTTGCAAACTAAATCATTGCAGTAATTCGTTTTCACGAAGGGGTCTTTAGCAGTGGATAGAACCTGGGGTATCCGGAGAAAACCCACAAGGTTGGACAAGCGACCCTACTCACTTGTCATGTTTAAGCGGGGAATCGAAACCACGCCACCTGAATCAATGTCAGACCTTGCGACTTCACGCGCACGTGTTAAACCACTAGACCACCCAATCCCCACGTAAGACGGATTTAGTAACTTGTTGTATATTGTATATACCGGTACGGGAAATTTGTTTTATAATAGGCCTATATAATAAATTAAATTGTTGTATCAGAATTTTTGGCAAATAAAATATCCCAGTTGGCGGAAAAAAATATGAACATTTTTTTATATAAAAATTATTATCCATTTTGACGGAAAAGAATGAAATACAGTGTGAGCCCTGGTTGCACGTATTCAAATGCGACCTGAAAAATTGAGACTACAACAACTTCCGAGGCTAAAGTCGAAAAGTCGACAGTACGACAGATCATAGGTCGCTAATAGCGCAGTGTGTTAATTTCCTAATTTCCTATTTTCGAGTTGCATTTTGGCTTGGCATGCGTGTTGGCGCCTTCTTACTGACATTAATAAATACAAAAATATGACTAAGTCGAAAGTCGACAAGACGGTATACAAGCCAAAATGCAAGTCGAAAATAAGAAATTAGGAAAAAACGAGGGGCGCTATTATCGCGTTGTGTTATTTCTTAATTTCCTATTTTCGAGTTGATTTTGGCTTGTATAGCGTGTTGGCGCCTTCTTACTGACATCAATAAATACAAAAATATGACTAAGTCGATAAGACGGTATACAAGCCAAAATGCAAGTCGAAAATAAGAAATTAGGAAAAATACGAGGGGCGCTATTATCGCTGTGTGTTATTTCTTAATTTCCTATTTTCGACTTGCATTTTGGCTTGTATACCGTCTTGTCGCCTCACATTTTGTCGTAACTTCTACTTTTCGACTTTTCGACTTTCGCGTTCTGCAGAGGCGAAAAGTAGAAATTATGAATGGTAGTTATAGACTTCCATAGAAATGGGCCATAAATCACATTTCTACCTGGAGTCAAAAGTGGTGTAGACAAAATGGCAGATACCAGCAAGGAATGGTTGTTAAGTTTCCCAACATGTTGTTGAACTGTTGCCGTGTGCATTCAGGGCAAAATTTTTGTTGCCCAGGTGTGTTGCTGAGATGTTTCCAAAAATGTTACCGAAAATGTTGGCAGTGTGTTTAAAGTTAATCCATGAGAAGACTGTTTGGTCAATGGCTGAATTTAAAATTTTTAAATTCAATGTAAATGTATTACAACTTCGAATTCACAGAAGTTGTATTAACAAGAAACTGAAGAAGGTGGCATAACTGTGCAGTCTGTTCACAAAACGTGATTAAAGACAATAGATAACTGTAGCATTTCCTACAGGAAACACTATAAACAAATCTATAGAATACTATAGTATTTTCCTATACCGATTAGCATACATCTGTAAAAAAAATTATATGATTTGCACTACAGAAACTGTACAGGCCCCCAAATTCTGTTGAATACTATAGAATGTTCTATCGAATTCTCTAGAAAACTACACTGGTAATCTATAGGACGTTTTGCTAAGGGTATACTTCGACTGACAGCCGATTAATGCAATCCTAAAACCTATAACGTAGCCCAACTCCTTCGTTAAATATAACGACAAGTTAAAAATTGTTAAACTTAACGGGGCTTTCAGCAACATACTTACAGATAACATCGTTAAAGATAACGATCCGTTAACTCTTTGTTAACGAGTCGTTATGAATTAACGGAGCTTTGAGAAGCCGGCCCCAGGACAATTTCCCACATATTTTATGTAGTCCCTATCTAACCACAGGATATCAATAGCAGATAACACAAGATAATTTCCAGGAATTCCCAGGAACAGTTTTAATCTTACCAATAAGATTATAGTCCAAAGTACACTGTTGTGATTTCCATGCTACGTCACTAACATCTTTATAGTCTACCTTCTCACATGTAGAAGTATTCCCTAAAAACAACAATACATACAAAGAAAGGTTGTCAGATAATAAACACACGACCACCGGCAGCTAAGTCGTCTATTCTGTTGTCACTATTTCAAGTATCAAAATTCCAACGCGCGCTCTTTTATATCATATGTTTTGCTATCTATGCAAATCATGGGATATAGGGTAGGAGTCGGATAAGCAAAACAGTAGGACGTTAAACCCCATTTCATTTCATTTCGGTAATAGTCGGGTCTTCTCTACTCAACATTGTGGGTTTTCTTCGGGTAATCCGGTTTCCACGTACTTTGCGTATCATTGAAATAAAAATATACCATAAATCATATGGTTTGTGTTGTATATTTTGGTATTATGACATTCGACCCATGGAAAAAAGAACCCCGTATTGATATATATATATATATATATATATATATATATAGCAAAAACCAATGACGAAACACGGAACACACAAAACAATGACAATAATAACCCGAATGTGCGCAACCAAGCTGGGAGAAAAAAGCATTAAGAGGGCACAAAGAAGCAATGGCAATTAAAATCAGAATGCACACAGTCAAACTAGGAGAAAATTGACAAGCGTGCCCAATAACAACCAGCGGTATAACAACGGAGGACCAAACAAACCTCTCAAGCCCGGAGGCAGTTTTTTCAGAGAGGCCAATCACAACCAGACCGACCACTATCCCAGCCCCAGCCACCACCGCCCCAATACAAGAAAAAGGGTAAGCGTCACTCAAGGAACGTCCACACAATATCCAATTCCCTGAACCAGTACACCCATAAATCATAAATGTATCATCCGTAGTTCTAAAGCATTACGAGATAAACATACTACAGAAAGGACTAAAGTTCACACGTACGCCTAAAGATAATATACAGGAATTAGAGTGTGATATCAACGCCTTCTGTAGGAAATTACGACTAATAAGGAATTTTTCGGTGATAGGGATATTGCGCCGGAGGATATTGTGAGGAACAAAAGTCACTTTAACCCCAGGAGGGTTAAGGACGTGACGCTGGACAATTTCATCGACTATTTAACCAAGTTGTCACTCCCTATAAACCGCAACGCAAAATCAAATGTGTCGAAGGAGGAAAAGTGCGCTATGAATTCTTTAAAATCTAACGATACGATCGTTATTAAAGAAAGCGATAAAGGGGGTACCTTTGTTATCATGGGTGTGGAATATTATGAGAAAAACGTCCTTAAAATACTTGAAGACAAACGGGTGTATACAACCATAGATTCGAACCATGATAAAAGAACAATGGGATTAATAAATGGCTTAACGAAATGACGAACAAAGAACAGGCTTATCTCCGAAAATTCGAGTACAAAACAAGTCAGTTTTATGGTCTTCATAAATCCATGATGATCAAGGAGTCTATTAAACATCAAAATGCCGAATTCATCCGTGTTTTCCAGCCAGACGACCCCCCTTTCAGACCAATGCTGCCCTACTAATAGAAATGAAATGAAATGGGGTTTAACGTCCTACTGTTCTGCTCCTATGCTGGACTAATGAAGACGGGCATACACCATACAGTGTGCTATGAGGGAAATTTTGCCCGGGCAGCGGCACTATCGCCTACTCTTATATCGAATTCCGACTGCCAGGGGATCTTTTACGTGCATTCCAATATATACACGGAAAATCTGGATGAACTTTCTCGGCCAATGCAGGGATCGAACACCCGATCTCCAGGCTAGCGAGCCAGCGTCTTACCCATGTGATCCCCGCCTTGTTACTGGCAACGGTAGTAAATATAGTCTACATTATAAAATCATTTGTTTTGTTTGTAAACGTTTACATTTGCCATGTTGTTATTTATCGTCATTTGTACACACATGCTGTCCTAAACGGATGGGGGGGGGGGGGTTGGATGGCTGAATGGTTAGCGTGCGCGCGCTGTATCATAAAGTCTGTCATTGAGTCGACTGGCGTGGTTTCGAATCCCCGGTTGTACGTGGCAAGGAGTAGGGTCGCCTGTCCAACCTCGTGGCTTTTCTCCGGGTCCTCCGGTTTCCTCCCACTGCTAAAGACCCCTACGCGGAAGCGAATTATGTAAATAAAATTAAACCATATGTTAGTCCCGAAATGACCTAGTTTGTGTCGAGTGGACGTTAAACCCCATTTCTCTCTCTCTCTCTCCCTAAACGGATGTTTCATATTACCACTGGCTCTCACAAATACAATGTCTTATTTTACTATGTTTCCCTACATCATACATTCGAACTACTCAGAGACGACACGGAACCATTTATCATAACAATGTGACAGAGGATGATTAAAGAAAACACGTGCTGTGTAAATAATGTAAATATATGGCCCCATTTAGTGTAGCGTAGTTATATTTTGATTGCTAAACCTTTTCAAATCTTATTGATATCTTACTTAAGCCGTACGTGCCAAAATGTAAAATCTGTTATTCGGGATGACATAGATTTTGTTAACAGATTGCCCCAAAATCTAAACGATGGCGACGTTTTCGTAACTATGGATGTTTGTAATATGTATGGCAACATTTCCCATGACCTATGCCTTCAAGCCATAGAATATTGGTTGGATAAACATCCTGAATGCAGTCATGAGAGAATTTTAAACAACTTCATCCTCAAAGCTATACGAATCATACTGACTAACAACACTTTTACATTTGGCGAAACAAATTACAAACAGGTTCTTGGTATAGCGATGGGTACCAAGGTGGCACGACAATTAAGTAATTGAACAATGGGATTTCTTGAGGAAAAATTATACTCAATTGTAGAAATAGAACATGGCGTGGATTACAGATTATATTTAAAAAATCCGTTGAAGCGATTCCTAGACGATATATTCGGTATTTGGAATGAACGAACTGGCAACGTTGCCGATTTGCAACAAATAATGAATAATTTAGATCTGAATATCAAATTCACAATTGAAACGAACGATCTGCAAATCGCATTCTTGGACGTTATAGTGAAACGAAGGGGAGAACACCTTATAACGGATATGTATTCTAAAGAAACAGGGGCCATACTATATACCGGAAAACAACCGGAAAACACCGGAAAACAACCGGAAAACACCATTTTATACTGAATACCGGAAAACACCGGAAAAACACTAAATACCAGAAGACATCCTAAATACCGGAAAACACCCTAAATAGGTAACCCGGAGCCTGGTCCTCTGTGTGCGGTTTTGGACCAAGTGAGCGCCGATGAAGAAAGGTCAAGGTCATTACAATGTTCGTTTTACAAATAGCCCCCCCCCCCCCCCAAAAAAAAATAAATAAAAAAAATTCCGATTTTTTTTTCTCCAAAATTTTGTTGATGCCTATTATGTTTTGAATGTTTTAAAAGACGCAATCAGTCTACCTCCATCATTGACCATATTTTATTTTGTATTTTAATTTTAGTTTTCAGTAAATTTCAGTAGATTTCAGTGTTTCAGTATTTCAGTAGATTAAACACAGCCATCTGAGGGCCCCGTTATATGCCGGTTGTGCCGGTCTCCTGATTCTTACTAGTAACGCTGGCATCAGGGTTGTACGAATTAGTGGAAGGCACGATTAGGCCAACTCCTCCCTAGGTAACAAAAAATCGCATCATAAAACAGCAAGTATCATCAACAGCGAGTTAATAAATCTCTGAATAGTTCGAGTTGAAGTTCCAGGTTTAACCGCTATGTGCCCTAATCACCAAACGAAATGGATGCCACGCAATTCTCGGACAGGCTGTAATCTGAAAAGTGTCTATCCTTTCCAAGAGCTATCCATCTCGTTGGAAGGGCTAAAAATCTACTTGTTTCTGAGCTTACTTTCATTCCAGGGTCAAATATAATCACTTGAACCATAATAATATTCAACATATTCCATCATATTCCGAGGGCCGCACACAGGATTTTTTTCTGGATTACTTTTCGAGCTTTTTTCCCCAACTCGTTGACCAGTTTTCCTTGAGAAAACCCCAACTTTCGCCCAATTGTCCATGAGAAAACTACATATTCTATCTTACTGCATTGACGGGAAGTGGTAAGCTGGACGTCTGTGAAAAGGGTTGATCGATAAATTTTCAAGGAAGCAATTGTTGTTTTTGTTTGTGAAATAGAGGACTCTAGCCGATGAGGCTACTTTCCCCCCGAGAACCTCAGGCAACCAATTTGTTTTATGTACTACTATCGTAATAAAACATTACTATGTTAACTACTTCCTGGTGGCTGAAGACTTACACCGAATGCGTATTCGGAAAAAAAATATCCCCGAGAAAATGTTTTTTCCGACAATCGATATTCGAGATGTCTTCTGTTGCACAAATTATGCTGCACTGTGTAAGAACTTGCATCCTTTGATCTGAAGATTGTAGATGGAAAAGTATCATTTTCACTATTTCAAAGTAAACCTGCATTTTCGTATATCATCCCGTAATTTGTGATTAATGACAATGACTGTGGAAATAATATGGGTTGAGGAACGGAAGATCTATATTCGTCACGTGACTGGACAATTCCACCCCCGTCCCACCCTGATGATGCACCCTCCCGGAGCCGCGCGGTGCGGCGCGCTCTCTAAAAAAATCTCGGGCACAGTTTACTCTTCTAACTTTACTTTTAGTGTCAACGACAATATGAATTGCGACACAAAAAATCTCATATATGTCTTGACTTTGCAATTGGTGTCAACATTTCTACATCGGGGAGACGGGCACACATCTACGGGATAGAGTACGCAAGTAGAATTCCAAATTTCCCCGTTTTTATAAAAAGAAAGCCAATGACATCACGAAAGGGAAATTAATGGAAAACCATTTTATTAAAAAATACGTTCCTGGACTTAATAGTCAATAAGTAACAATTGGCCATTAACTCCATTAATTATTAAATATCTTCCACTTATTGTTTCTAAATTGTACCTATATTAACACACGTGTGTACATGTTTCCTATTAGTTACCGGTATACTATGTAACCATAGACAATGGTAACCATAGCCAATTAAAACCACAGTGTTACTATGTAAATATGTATAAATACACTATACTGTTCATCGTTATACAATGACGTTATTTATGAATAGTCCCAAGGCGGACGAAAAGTACTTTAAAATGTTAAAATGTTATTAAACCAGTGTTGAAATCAGTGTGAAAACCATGTGTGATCAGCTTTGAACTGTGACATTACCCATAAATGCAAAAAGTAACTCACGTCATGTCAGAATAAACAAGCCAACGGTGAGGCTGATGTCCCCCGCCGAAATCCTCAAATGAATAGATGACACGTATTAATTAATCGCACATCTATTTTTTTTCAAAAGTATCGAGCATTCAAACTGATTATCAACTATACATTAAGTTTCACCTCTCTCTATCAGATAGAATCAAAGTTATCTTGTCCCAAAGCATCGACCAAGGAAATTGCTTATCTCTGCTTAGCTTTAGCTCGATATGTTAACCATTGAACTCAGTCAAGACGAACATCTACACCAAGTTTAAACATTCTACCTGAATTAGAAGCAGAGTTGTTATGTTCCAAAGTCTGGCCAATCAAATCAGTGTGAAAACCATGTGTGATCAGCTTTGAACTATGACATTACCCATAAATGCAAAAAGTAACTCACGTAATGTCAGAATAAACAAGCTAACGGTGAGGCTGATGTCCCCCGCCGAAATCCTCAAATGAATAGATGACACGTATTAATTAATCGCACATCTATTTTTGTCAAAAGTATCGAGCATTCAAACTGATTATCAACTATACATTAAGTTTCATGACTCTCTATCAGATAGAATCAAAGTTATCTTGTCCCAAAGCATCGACCAAGGAAATTGCTTATCTCTGCTTAGCTTTAGCTCGATATGTTAACCATTGAACTCAGTCAAGACGAACATCTACATCAAGTTTAAGCATTCTACCTGAATTAGAAGCAGAGTTGTTATGTTCCAAAGTCTGGACCAATCAAAATGCTCATTGCTCCTTAGCCTAAGCAGACAATTCTCATCATCGAACTTAGTCAAGGTATTGATGTAATGAAACTATACACCAAGTTTCATCACTCTCACTTAATTAGAACTAAAGTTATCGTGTCCCAAGTCAGAAAATGCTCATCTTCTCACTCTTTCAAGGCATTGACCTCATAAACATCAACACCAAGTTTGAACATTCTAGCTCAATTAGAAGGAGAGTTATTGTGTTCCAAAGTCTTGGCCAATCAAATCGCTTATCGCTCTGCGTACCCTGAGAAGAAAATGCTCAATATCGAACTTAGTCAAGGTATTGATGTAATGAAACTATACACCAAGTTTCATCACTCTCACTTAATTGGAACTAAAGTTATCGTGTCCCAAAGCATCAACCAATAAAATTGCTTATCTCTACTTACTCTAAGCAGAAAATACTCATCTTCATACTCCATCAAGGCATTGGCCTAATAAACACCTACACAAAGTTTAAACATTTTAGCTCAATTAGAAGGAGAGTTATTGTGTTCAAAAGTCTCGGCCAATCAAATTGCTTATCGCTCTGCTTACCCTGAGCAGAAAATGCTCATTATCGAACTTAGTCATGGTATTGATGTAATGAAACTATACACCAAGGTTCATCAAGTTATCGTGTCCCAAAGCATCAACCAATCAAATTGCTTATATCTGCTTACCCTAAGCAGAAATTTCTCATCTTCCAACTCCATCAAGGCATTGACCTAATAAACACCTACACCAAGTTTGAACATTTTAGGTCAATTAGAAGGAGAGGTATTGTGTCCCAAAAAGTGTGACGGACGGACGGACAGACAGACAGACAGACAGATTTTAATAGTCCCCTGCTTTCTTCGAAAGGCGGGGGTAATAATAGTCCCCTGCTTTCTTCGAAAGGCGGGGGACAACAATATACCGCTGCTTTAACATGTTGGTGTATAAAAATGTTTTATGTCATGTGATATGGGAACTTAAAGAGGTTATCTTCACATTATATATTCTATAGATAGATAACCAAGCATGGGGCGTCATATCGATAATCTGACTATATCATGACGTCACTAAGCGGAAAATATCGGGGCAGGTGGGTTTTTTTTTCTGTTAGCCCAGATAGGGGTATAATTTAAACTTACAATACATTTGTTCTGGATAAGAAGAACTAGACCGTAAAAAGTAAACATCACCAATTTTCTCAGCAGCCCAATCAACGGCAGTAATATAACCTTTATGACCCTGAAAATATACACAGATTTTTACAATAACAATATTATAGAATAATGACGATACATTCATATTACAGGTGTATATAGACACCCGATTAGATTTTATTACATACTTCGAGAAGGTATTTGTTGAGTAATAAAACCTTCTAGTAGTTTATCGAGGGCTAGTCGTCCTTACCGCACGGTACAAATATTATCACCACTAGAAGCAACAAATTCCAGAACAAGCCAGAACTCATACCAAAATGGCCGCTTTATACAAATGAGTATTAAGGGGAATACTAACCCGGACCCTAACCCTAACCCTTTTAAGAGAAGTAAAAACTAAATTAGACCCAAGTTCAGTCTTTTAAAAAGGGTTAGGGTTCGGGTTAGTTATCCCAAAATTCTCATTTATATAAAGCGGCCATTTTGGACTCCGGAAGCACCTGAACCTCGATAAACTACTAGAAGGTTTTATTTGTACCGTGCGGTAAGGACGGCCAGCCCTCGATAAACTACTAGAAGGTTTTATTACTCAACAAATACCTTCTCGAAGTATGTAATAAAATCTAATCGGGTGATATAGAGGTGTATATTGTAATTAAAATATATGAAAATATGCTCACCCAACATTTCCCAACACATTGCCATGATTGTGTTCCATCTTCTTTTTCCATGCAGGCAAAAATTGTTATAGACTTTTCAAATCCTCCAACAGCTACACAATTGTGATCTGAAAAATATTGGTATTATATAAAACTATAACAGAACCGAAGTCGGGGCCACTGCAATTCGAGGGAAAATACATTTTTTTTTATTATACACGACAATTCCGGCATACTGGTTCGACAGGTATTTTTTTTGGCGACAATTAATCTTCATTCGATCACGTACTAGTCGGTTTAGTACTTTTATAGGAATCGAACATTTTATACGAAGATTTATATCTTTGAAAATGGCAGCCTTGTCCAAAATAAATGAACAGTTTTGGTTCGAACGACAAGGTTACAATCGAACTGATGATATTCCATTCAATCGAGTTTTAAATAATTTGAAAAAAAAATTTACTCGGTAAGTTTAGGTGTAGCGAATAAATAACCCATATTGTATTGTTTGTGAATATAAATGACTGTACACAGGGAAAAGAATAGAAACATTTACTGATAGAAAGGTAAATAATTAAATAAAGTATGTGTTTATTGGAAACATTATATAATAAAGCAGTAATTACCAGGGGAGAAGGCGATACAATCCAATCTATCTTTAGCTATTTTACGATGTAATAATTCAGTAACAGTAAATGTTTCTGAATTAATCTCCATTATCATTAAACTGAAAATAACATCATCGATTAGTGATTTTACAATCTAGTCGTATTTCTTGTTGGCTTAGAATGTGCAATACAGATAATGTGAGGCTGAGGTGGCTGTATTGTGCAAAAAAAATGCCCACAGCAACTCATGCTTATTTTGATAAGAATAAATTTTATGGTGGCGACTGAGTCCGAGTATATAGATACAGATATAGTAATACTACTTACTATCCTTCCATTGTTCCCAGGCATAATAATTTACCATTAGTACTACAATCAGCACATAGAAATGTAGAACCCTGTAAATGAAATTAAATGCAATGGTGTTTAACGGAAGACGGAATAGAACCCTGTAAATACAGTAACATGTAATGTTACACAATAAATCTTACTTTACATATTACGTATCCATCTGATGTTATCATTGTCTTATTTTAAATATAATAAAATGTAAATTGAATGAAGTGGAATGGGTAGGATTTAACGTCTCGTCAACACAATACATAATACTTTGAGACTAACATAATATGGTCACTTCTATGGTTAGGTGTGCAACGCAAGGGTAAGAGTTTTTCTCAGTATGTGTCATAATTAACCTTCATAACAAGTTTCCAGGCAGGTTCGTGTGTAAACGCATTAAATTTACAAATGATTCCATCAGTGCCAGTTGTCAGGAAATTAGCTCCCATGAACGAACGCTGTATTTCACAGAGACCTCTTAAATCGTCAAAGTGACCCTGAAAGAGTAGAAAAGGACAATAAATATTTTAGAGCTATTCAGTGCGTTTTGACAGTGTACTATGATTATTGTCCTTTAAAGGGTATTTACTGAACGCAATATACAATACAAATAACTTAAAATTGTCTATATTACAAAGATTCAAATGTGGTACCATTCGGAATAATTATCAGTTCATATCAATTACTTGTTAGAACCGGAATTTTTTACAATGGTAAGTTTATCAATAATATAAATAAATGGCAAATGATTGAGAAGAAGTCAATCGTGTATTATAAAGTAATAAAGTTCTGTAGTGATATTTAGATAAAACCGTATTTTTATTGATTTTCTATTATTAATATTATTTCCAAAGTATTTATTTTACCTGTGTTATTGGAAGAGGATCGAGTTCAGAATTCTCTAAGGGAGATCCATTTATAGAGATTGTAGATGCCAACATTGAATTCATTGTCGTTCCAATCAATAGCGTTTTATCAATAATTTGAATCATTCTAATACCACCTTCAGTTTTTGCAACCTATAATAAACATATAAATCAGACACTAATTTGGGCGGTGTTTTTATACAGAGAAATGAAAAACATCGTTATGTAAAGTATCCAAGCTTTTTGAGAAAAACATGGCAGCAAATGTTTAATCACACTCATTTACAATTTATTAAGACACCGCCTTACATAACATGATATTGAAGTTTAAATACAGTTATAACTTGATTATAACTTTCAACAACAAATTTGTTACTATATAGCAATGCATCACGTCTCAAAGCTATTATATTTTCACTGATCGCACTCATTCTGTCATATTGTAATAGCCATGTGGCTATTTATATCTATTTATATTTATACCGTAGGCCTAGTAAATAACATCTACTCTACATAAAGCCTGTGTTGTGTTGTTGTTCTATTTTTAGATTGTTGACCTCTTTCTATAAACGTCAGACCGGGTACGTTCATGTGAGGGAATCACAAACCTTTTTTTTTGTGATTACTTTGAATGAAACAAAAGTGCCCTGTGTTATCATGTCCATACAACTAGTAGATCTAACCATCGTGCCGTGGGTGTAGAGTGTAGCGCCGACGCTAATGTGTTGGACGGAATAGGCCTAGTACAAAGTTTCATTGACTGGAGTGGTAGGACCAACCCGAGTGACATCTTTTCTTTTAACCTTACCGTTGGAACAAGTATGATAATCGAATCAGCGTGTAACCATTAAAGATTATAACACCTTACCCGAATTTAGCCTCCGTCTAGTGATCGCCACCCATTTATAGGAGTTCAAGAATTACTTCATAATGCCCGTGTTTCATACTCGCTAACGAGCGGCCATGTTCGATTAGTTGTAGACTATGGTAGACCAGAAACCTGTTGTTTGATCATAATAGTCACTTGCTTCGGTCCTGCCACTCGCACTTTGTCCTAGTCCTATTTATGACGAACATGGAAATAAACATCGCAACTACTAATGGGGGAGGTACTTGATTGTCCCGGACATAAAATGACATTTGAAGATGCAGCGTTGATAGCCTAGTACTATGAAGCACGACAACGATACATGGAGCGGGGAGATGACGTCTAGATTACCACGCCGTGTTGACGGGGGTTTTGCTGATAAATAAACTCTTAGTTCGGACTATTAAGCATGTTTTCATGGCCATACTGACTAATTTTGTGTACATTATTCCTGTAGGACTAAACTCCAAATAATCTGCTGTGCCCAAATGTTATCCCTCCTCTTTATAATTGTAATTGAATATTTCAAGCGTAGCATACACCTTGAAAGGTTGCATCGGCGATGGCAACAGATTAGCAACGGGTTGCGAACGGTTGCATTGGGTGGGATGGCTATAATTAATTAATTACGAGGGCCCATTGCTGAATATTGGCCCTGAATGATAAATAATATGTTTTTAGGCAGTTATAAACCAAACTGCCTTTCGAAATATTGCTTTTGTTTTATTAAATTGTACATTTGTAATTATGAAAGTAGATCCTTTCTAGGCATGGGTTGCATGGGGTTGAAAGAGGCCGCGGGAATACCGTAATGTCATTGGTCGTGATACTTTGGCAAAGTCTATATAAAGCGGTGAACTCGTTAGAAATGGCATTCTGTCGTTGACGCTCTTAGGGTAAGCACCGTAAGAGTACATAACTCTCCCCCACTGCTCTTATATTTATTTGTGTCGTTTCATGCAATTTTTAACTTAGTAAAAATTATCGTATTCCTTTCAACTTCCCCCCCCCCCCACCAACTAAAAAATAGACGATTAAGATTATTTGTAAAGCCTCAATGCCATTTCGTCAACTAACGGGCGCCGTACAACGGGAAAATAATTAAGGTTAAACGTCGTTCCTTAAATATATAAAAGCCGAATTATTCCCCGGTAGAAGTCGAGGAAGGGTCTAAATCACCCAACGATTATTGTATTATTGCTGTAAATATAGAATAACGTTCGTAAAGATAATAAATCCATTATTATTATTATTTATTTCCTCTTACAGTTTTTATTTAAAGTCAAAGCCAACTCAAAGTCATACCGAGGGCGGCTACAAATTGGTGGCTGGAGTGGGATATTTATCCAAAGGAACAGAAAAGAACCATAATTATTTTCTAAGGATGGCCACTCCATTTTCTCCTGATCCGGAAATATCTTTTAAAGACCGAGCGATATTTGAGGAAGGCCAAGGTGATATGTCCATGGAACAATCTATCATTGATGAAACACACAAAGAAAGCATTGAACCGTGTATCAGTGTGTTGCAACTAAGACTACCAACGCATGCCGGAACGCATACCACACGTATTACGATAACTATCAAACCCGACTTTTATGATGGAACAGCAGACTGGGATGAGTACTATTCACATTTCGAAAGCTGTGCCCAGCTAGGCGGATGGCCAGCCGAACAACAGCTGTTAGTACTTGCCACCAGTCTAAGAGGTAATGCGAGAAGCTTCTATATGGGCCTTGGGCCTTCAGAAAGGCAACCCTTTTCATCGCTGCTTAAGCACATGAACCAACGCTTCGGGAGTAACCGGCAACAGAGCCTCTGGTTGTCCCGTTTATAAACCAGACAAAGACGACCGCAATAGTCAATTGCCAATTTTGCCGAGACAGATGACCAAAAGAGCATACGCAGGATTGGATAATAAAGCTCAAGAGGCAATCGCCCTGAACCAATTATATAAAGCAGTTCCAGCCGAGCTTAAATTTCATTGCATGGAATATGAGAGGCCAAACAACTGTTGAGATGTATATTGATAATGCTTCCTACCTACACCCAGTAGTCGTAGCTCGTATAATGCCGGAGGGTATATTGGGACAAGATTTCCTGTTAAAACACGTTAGTAACATCGACTACAAACACTTACGATTGTATTCGGCTGTAGGACCGCCTATACAATTTTGGGTAGCCGGTGAGGCGGGGGGCATATGCCGAGTAGAGATTCGATCGACAACGGTGATACCTGGCAACTGTGTTTCCTTAGTTGAGACGAAAATAAGCCAAAATGGAAAACTACCCGAGGGATTCTTTGTTCCGGGGTCTATAATAGATACCGATCGTGCAGTTCAGAGGATAACCATTTTCAATTATGGTGAAGATGATATTACTCTCCATTCCAATATGAAAGTAGCGACGTTGGAATCTGTGTATATCGAACCAGAGACCACTACAGGAAGGTGTGCTGGAGCAGTCGTCGTAGATGTAGCTACATCAACCGCAGTCTCTTCGCAGTTACCACCACATGTTACAGATCTGTGGGAGAAAAGTTCAACACACCTAACTGCGGGCGAAGGAGAACAGTTTGCGCGGTTGCTCGTAAAGTACCAGAATGTCTTTGCAACTTCATCTGCTGACCTTGGGAGAACGAAAAGGGTGGCACATAAGATAAATACGGGAGTAATGTGTCCGATCAAGCAACCCCCACGTTCGGAAAAAGAGAAGTCGAAAAAGAGGAAATAAAGAAGATGATGGATAGAGGTATTATCGAACCTTCAAAGAGTGCCTGGGCGTCCCCCGTCGTTCTGGTGAGAAAAAAGGGTGGGGGCATGCGGTTCTGTGTAGACTATCGCCGACTTAATGACATCACGGTGAAAGACGCGTATCCTCTACCACGAACAGATGATTGTCTAGATGCTTTGGCTTTGGCTAACAGCAACTTTCCAACGACTGATAGAAGATATTTTATGTGGACTTCGATGGGTTGAATGTCTACTGTTTATGGACGATATAATCGTTGGAACCTTAACGACCCAAGAATCTCTCGAAGGGCTAGAACACGTATTCCAAAGACTCTTGGAAAATGACCTAAAACTGCGTCCGTCCAAATGTCTTTTCTTTCAAAAAAAAGCCCGATTCTTGGGCACATCGTTTCGGACGTCGGGGTGGAGACGGATCCAGAGAAAATAGAGACAATTCGTGATTGGCCAATACCCAAGAATGTTAAACAGGTTAGGAGCTTCTTTGGGTTGTGCTCCTACTACAGGAAATTTGTGTTGGGATTTGCCGATATAGCGCGACCTCTTCACAAGCTAGTTGAAAAAGGTAAGAAATACGAATGGACAACTGATGCCTTTGTACCGATGCCTTTGGTAAATTAAAAGTAGCTCTCATTTCGTCACCAATTCTCTCGTACCCAATACCAGGACAGAAAGTTATCCTCGATACTGATGCCAGTGATAAGGCTGTCGGATCTGTTCTCTCACAAGAGCATAACGGGGTGGAGAAAGTCGTAGCGTACATGAGTAAGTCCATGAACCGTCATGACAGAAATTACTGCATAACCCGAAAAGAAATATTGGCCGTGATAACAGCATTAAAGCACTTCCATACTTACCTGTATGACCAAAAAATATTACTAAGAACTGACAACGCTGCTGTAAGCTGGATGCGCAACCTAAAGAAGCCTACAGGACAAGTTGCTAGGTGGTTGGAGGAGCTCGGGACGTATAACTTTACTGTCAACCATAGACCAGGTCGGAAGCATGATAATGCGGACGCTATTTCGAGATATCCATGCAAAATGTGTTCCCGACAAGATAGAGATGAGTATGAATCCTCGGACGATGATGATCAGTGTGATAAATGTGGAATATCACCTACCGGAGCCACGAGAGCAATAACGCACAGTAAGACCCACTCTCCAATCGGAAACGTGATCGTTCTTGATGGCTGGACGCTAGAAGAGGTACGACAGAAACAACTTATTGACACCCAAATAGGGCCTATTCTAGTAGCATTTGAAGATGGGGTAAGACCAGACTGGAATTCGATTTCTTCCGAATCGTCGGTACTCAAAACGCTATGGAGACATTGGGATCGACTACAGATACATAGTGGTGTTGTTTTTTTTTACAGAATTTGGATAGAAGACGATGCTACTTCCACCATTCAATTAATTGTACCGGTATTACTATGAGATACCCACAGGAGGACATATGGGGAGAGATAAAACGCTCGCGAAAAGTTATAAATCCCTTTACTGGCCTAGAATGAAAGATGAAATCGATGTATA